GCAACCGACAAAGACGGCCATCTGCATGTGTGTGTCTGTAGCAGTGGTGCTTTAGAAAGAAAGATTTTAAAGACTTTTATGAGATGTTTTTTCCATGCAAACCATTTAACAGCCAAATCTAAAACTATAAAATATCAAGCACTGCTAAAAAAATCTAAACTATTAAAAAATTATAAAACGTTAAGAATATTTGTATTTAAACCAAATATTTATGCTAATATAAATGTAATCATATAAATAAAATATAATTTTTTTACTTTTTAAAAAGAAAAAAGAAAGTCTAGATAAACTTATATATAGTTCAGTCATGAAACTCTAGATGGCGCAGGCTGGCGGGTTGTTAACGTAACTGATGATATTCAGAGAGTTAAACGACTTGGCACAAGCTGATTGGTTCATGCTGCATATGCAGCCAATGCAGCTTACTGCCTTGCATTTATATGGCTGGCTAGCATTCACTTGAGATTCCTGCAGCGCGCTTTCAGAGTGTCTCTGAAATCCTCCACCTTCCCCAGCCCCACCTGTATAGATCTGCTACGGGTTATTTTATATGCTGTTTGTGCAGCAGCAGTATGTCTTAAATACTCACAGCACCGTATCGCCATATGCATTGGCAGTGCCAAGTTCCTGTACTTGCTTGCAGCAGCAGCAGCAATAATCTACAACTACAGCAATAACCAACAGCAGCAGCAATTCAGCAGCAGCATAGCAGATCTATTCCGCCAAGATCAAATACATTAACATTGTCATATCCATCACCATGCTAAAATCTTCCGAGAGTTGGCATGATTGAAATCTAGTTTAGTCAACCACTGTGACCAATCTCTAATATAAAACATTGCACAAAACAATGATTAAATTCAGTTGTTGTTTGGTTATTTAGAACTAAGTTTGTCATTTGAGGCTTGATGCGTTATTTTTTCCATGTTTGGTGGTACATGAAAACGTTATTATTTCTTGAAGATTTGTTTACTGTTACAAGCTGCAAATAAATGAGGGGCAGCTGGGTTTTAAACCCAGTTCAGCACTGTACACACTGCTATTGTCATCATAGCTCATTAAGACGCATTTTGCCTGGTTTAGTCGCGGTATTGTTTGAATGCAGTGTAAATCTGGAAGGTATGAAGAGGTCGCATCCTACCACATCAATCTTGTTTTCCGACGGTGAGAAAGTCGGTGACTGAGTGTGAGAGATCAAGTGTGCAATACAGATGAGTTGTAATTGTTCACAGAAAGCGCTGTGGAAAACAGCCACAGACCTCAAACTGTCAATCAAAGCCCTCACTTCCTCTGAACTCCTTCCCAGCGTCCCCACTGGGCCATGTGTGACGCTAGAACATCAACTCCGTGCATGTTGGTTGCGGTGTATTTGTTGTGATTTTCAAGTAACGGCAGCAAAGTGCGTGCCGTACGTCCATCCTTGCTGGGCCACTGCTGGTGTAAGATGAGCAGGACCACACGGAATCCGCCACCACAGAATTCCACAGATTCCCACAGATTTGGAACGCCTGTGATCTGCTGAGTTCTACACATTTGGATTGCAATGCTTTCAACTGCAGTTTGATTGTAGTGGAAGTTTCATTTTTAAAAGCACAGCTCACCCTGAAATGATGACTTTGTTTACTCAGCCTCATGTCATTTCAAACTTTTCTGACTTCTGCAGAACCCAAAGAAGACTAAAATGTCTAAAACATCCACTGACTTTCTTTGCATCAACAAGAAAAGCTCAAGAAACATTCTTCAAAATATCTTCTCCAGGCAAGTTCCTGAAGCCATCTTAAATCATTCAGCGCCTCCGTGCCTTAAAACATTTATACACCGCCTCTACTCGAACATGTGAGTTCGGTGCACGCTGACATCGTAGCGCTCTAGCAGAGGTTAAACAGCTGTGCCTCAATACTATGATCAGAGCAATAATGAATGAGAGCCATATCAATTATTTGAGCTGTGGGAGCCGAGGGCTTGTTCGGGAAGAGAATGGTAAACACAGGCAGGGGAGAGAGAGAATGAGCGCACTATCTATGTGCTTTCCACACAGAAAGGCATCTTTGTAACTGATCACAGCATTGGGTTGATCTTTGACCTCACGCAGACACACTTCCTGTCACTGAATAGCTTGTCATGTGTGATAGAGTGGTTTTTATTCTGAAGATACTGTTGAAGATTGTGTCCTAATGTTTGCAGATTGCTTGTCAGTGATATTGTTGTATACCAGATGACAGCTGGGACAAGCGCGTTTGACACTGGACACAGCAGATTCTTTGATTTCTCAGTTTGT